GCTTGCTTATTTTGGTGTTTCAAAAATAGGATTTTTAAGGGCATACCTGCAAAAAGAGGTTTTTGCTGTTGGGTAGGTCACGGCGGAAGGGAAAAGAGGAATTGCTACTCATGTAAATAACTGCTTTATATCCTGTAGCTGTAAGGGCAACAGCGTTGCATCAGCAAGTGCCAAGTCAGCGCTCTTTCTGAGCTGGGCTCCCCGGCCTCCCAGCGGAGATGGGAAGCCGAGCAGATCATACGTGAGGATTCCGATGCACGGGGCCTATGCCCAGCATTGGAGCCATTTACCGGGACTTTACGGCCTTCAGATGGGAAAGGCCTGTGAATTTTCATCGTGTCTCTGTGGGGCTTGAGTCAGCAGTCCTGGCTGATGGCGGAAGCCTCCGGTGGGATCCTCAGCCAGCCCCTCGGTGAGTCCCAGGGTTTGGGTGGAGGGTCGGCGGGGGGGGACCTGCTGATGAGCACTAATGTGCACCTGGAGGCAGCTCCAAATTCATCATCATGAAGCTGTAATGCGCCCCCTGGGGGTGGGGGGGCGCTGGCACTGGCACACGGCTGCTGCCGGCAGAGCCCCCGCACTAAGCACCTTATCTCCCCTTCACGCTTGAGCCTCTGTCTGCAGAGGAGCCCAGGCGGCTGTGGAATGAGGAGAGGAGGAGGCAGAAGGAGAACTGCTGGGCTGGAGGAGAGGACGAGTGCCGAAACGGGACGGGAGGAGAAAGCAGCCTCACTGCGGAATTGCTGCCGCCAAGCCGAAATTGGATGGATGGCGATGTACGAAAAATGTGCACATTTCAGGCAAATTTATGAAGACAAAATCCACCCCGTGTGATTTTTATGGATGGCTTGTCCTGGAGCAGCAGGGCTGCGCAGACGCCCCTGAAACAGCACAGATGCCCTGGTGGAGAGCCAGCTCCTCGGGGAGCGGGCGAGGTGAACAGCTCAGGCCTCGCGCTTCTCCAGCCTGTCAGCCGCGCACCAACAGCCTACCGGTACTGAGACCTTCCGCCTATGTAAGCCCAGTCCTCCAGAGCCAGTGCCGGCGTAAGCAGCTGAATTAATCGGGAGGGGGGCCCATCCCTGAGATGCCAGGAGGGGGTCAGATCCGGCCAACAGGGATGCCCAGGGTTAATGGCAGCAGTGGGGGGGGGCTCCTTCGCCCAGGGACCTGGCCTACTTAGCTCCGATGCTGAGAGCCTCTATCTGGGGAACGTGATGCACCAATTAGCAGCCTTTCCTTTGTTTTTTTCATGGGAGGTCGTCTACACAATTAGCACGAACAGAAACGCACGTGCCGGCCCTCCCCCACCCCTCGCCTGTGCTCTCAGATTGATTAGCTGAGTTAGCGTCCAGAGCTGGGGGGGGCTTTATAACCCAATTCTTCTTCCTGCGCCTGGATGCAAAATGTAAACTAGATAGATTAGCGCAACAGAACAAATTTTACCCTTTATACACTTTTTTCCGCACCTCTACACTCCTCTACAGGATGTGGAAAGCAAGCAGTCAGGCAGGGGATGAATGATTCTGGGCCGTCTGACGCATTAGGATGTCCCAGTATGCGGTCAGCCACTCCACAGAAATAAAGGCAGTGTCCGTCTCTTAGTCCAGCTTGGCTCCCACAATGCTGCCACACATCAGTACAGCAGCGACGGCCAACGCGACGTCCCCCAAGATCAGGAAGGAGCTGAAACGGCGCCAGATTCCTGAAGGTCCAGTGTGACTCTTGATACCAGCCTCAGGGACGTCACTGTGTGGCCCAGGAATAGATGTAAGCCTTAGTTCAGGAGTGAGTCTCAGCATCAACCTGTGTGGTGTAATCCCCAGTGTGTCTGTATACTGTATGTGGATGCTGGTCTTAATCCCCAGAGAGACTGCGGATGGGGATGCTGGGCTTAATCCCCAGAGTGACTGTGTATGTGGATGCTGTTCTTAATCCCCAGTGTGATGCTGTGTGTGAATCCTGCTATTAATCCCCAGTGTGATTCTGCATGTGAATCCTGGTATTAATCTCCAGTGTGACTCTATATGTGAATCCTGGTCTTAATCCCCAGTGTGATTTTGTATGTGAATCCTGGTTTCAATCCCCAGTGTGACACTCTATATGAATCCTGGTTTAAATTCCCAGCATGGGTCAGTATCTGAATCCAGGTCTTAATCCCCAGGGTAAATCTGTATGTGACACATTGTCTTAATCTCTAGCATGAGTCAGTATGTGAATCCTTATGTTAATTCCCAGAGTGACTCTGTATATGAATCTTGTTCTTAATCCTCAGCATGAGTCTGTATGTGAATCCTAGTCTTAATCCTCAGTGTAATTCTGCATGGGAATCCTGGTATTAATCCCCAGTGTGACTCTATATGTGAATCCTGGTCTTCATCCTCAGCACCAGTTTGTATGTGAATCTGTATGTGAATCTTAATCCCCAGTGTGACTCTGCATGTGAATCACCAGTGTGAATCTCAGTGTGAGAGCAGTTTGTACACCCTGGGGAGAGTATACACGTGAGTCCCTGTTTTAATAAGTCTAAGTATGAGTCCCAGCATCAGTTCCATCCTGGTGTGCATCACAATGTGAGCCGGAATGTAAGTCTAAACTACACAAGCCCGACAGATCCAGTTTGCTCATATATTATTAATAGCAAGAACTCCCGAGCGAATGTACAAGCAATAACTACAGTACAGGTCAAAAGTCCAGATACGCCTACTGAAAATCAAGGAAATTAAACAAGATAATGACCCTAAGCTCACCTTGAGGTTATGTAGTACATACTATCTTGTGAACAAGGAAAGAGATGGAGCGCTGTGACAGATGACCTGGCCCCCACAATCTCCCACAATCCCCCGACCCAAATCCTACAGAGCTGGTTTGGAATGAGTTGGATTGAAGTGTAAGAACAAGGTACCCAACTTGTGGAACCTCCTTCAGGACTGATGGAGAAGCATTCCAGGTGGTTACATCCGGAAGCCAAGAACCTGCACTGCTTTCATCAGAGCAATTGGGAGATATTTTGAAGAGTCTGAAAATGTTTTAAAAAGAGATGTTGGACACTTTGGGTTGTTGCAATATTTGGTATGTATTACATCATTGCCTAAAGACCTTTTATTGTAAGGAGGATAATATAGCTAAAATAGAGTGAAATGCAGGAAAAGCTAATGTACCCATGCTTTTGACTGGTACAATATTTGCAATGACCATGCAGGCATATACCTTATTAATATATCATTACCTATAATGGAGAAGCAGAGTTACTATTATATGGAAGCATGATTCTATTTGCATAGCAGTGAAACCAGCTTGAGATGGTTCCTTTGTCCTTCCTCTCTGTGTCTTTCAGCATGTTTACAGTAAAACGCTTCTACATCCGTGGGACTAGCTGCAGGTCTTACGGAGAGAGGCATCCCCGACCAGCCGGTCCGCCGCCGCATCCCCATCCGCTCCTTTGCCCCGGAGTCCCCTCACTCTCGGCGGGCCTTAGGGACACCCTGTGACACCTGTGAAAGGCCTCTCAGCAGCCGTGCTCTATTGCTAAAGCCGTTCTCTTAAATAAAGACTTATTGATTTTTCCACTCCTCACCCTTAGTCCTGTTTGGTCAGCACTGTCCCTATTCTCCACCATTTCCGCTACGGTCCTTCACTGACATCTAACCCCAGTGCCGTAATTCTCCTCCCTGATGGCTCTCCTCCTCCTACCTGCCCAGCCTTACATCTTCTCCCTGCTCCTCCCCCACTCTACTCTCTGTACTCCCAACGCTGCTCCTGCCCGAGCACGGTGTAGAGCTCGCCTCGCTCGCTGGGCACTGCTTGCCCGTCTCATTTAATCCTCTGGGATAACAAATTACCCTCTGAGTTTCCTCATTCCTCGCTATCAACAGGATGCTGCTGCTTCCTGTGCACTCCTGCTTCCCCGGAATAGGTGTCATTTACTCTCCAAGGGAACATCAGCGCTGGGGCCCCCGCAAGGCATGGGGGGGGGGGGCATTAACCACCCAGAAGGACAGACCCAGCTAAAGGGCACTCAGCACCAAGACATTTCATTTCCAGTGAATAAAGAAGGGGAACAGAAAAAACAGGAACAGCAATCACGCTAAATAACCTGCGGCTACATTTGTAGTAATGCTTTTCTTCCTCTCTTTTTCTATTTTGCTTTAAAAACCTTGTGACACAAAGTGTCGTTTATTGCTATCATTATGGCCGTCGTTACGGCGATGGCGACTGCCGACCGTTGATGTTCCCCCCTCTCCTGTGTAAAAGACGCATGTCTCCTGAAATCTCTGCCAGCCGTTATCGTGCCCAGCACTCGTCTTGCTGTGATGGTACCTGCTGGGTCCGAAATAGAGCACAGCGAAGTCAGCGGATGAAAAAAAAATATATATGTGTGTCTCTGCCCCCGTTGCCCGTGAGACGGTATCATCGGCAATGACGCTCCGATTGGCCGCTACCAGCCTTTTGCCATTGGCTATTAGAGACACACGTCCGAGCGCCCCGTGAAGGGCGGGGGCCCCTCCGTGTGCTGGACGGAGGTCTCCCTCTCCCCGCCGCCTCGGCCCCGTGAATGACAGATTGCAGAGTCGTCCGAGGTACCATGTGAGTCATCTATAAGCCTCGCTTTTGAACCCAGAGAGAGGGAGAAAAACAACGTTGTCAAAAAGGGATTAGGAAAAAAATAAGCACCATTTTTTTTTTTTAACAGGCCTATAAACAAGCCTGAAGCAACTGGGATCCTTGGGGAAATTGCAATATTTTACACTCCAACACTCCACCAAGACAGATGGTATTAGGTGTCCTCCCGGGAAATATAACAGCGTTTTCCGTTGTTACTGTCACTGTTTTTCACTCTCAGATGACTCTTGAGCCTTTGTTTTGGTTCACCTACCCAACCTGAGTCAACAGCCGCTGCTCTCTCACTGGCCTCCCCCGCGGGCCCCTGCATCCGGCACCCACCGCCTGTCACCTCCACCCGGCCCGTCAACACGACTAGCATACCAGCCCCAGCTCACCGTTCTGGCCGTCAGCTCCGGCGGGTTGTCGTTCACGTCCGTCACGGAGATGATGGCGGTGGCGGTGTTGGACAGCCCGAAGTTCAGGTTGCCCTCCATGTCGGTGGCCTGGATGATGATCGTGTACTGGGAGACTTTCTGCAGGGGAGAATACAATTCCCATTCAGCATAAATCCACACTTTGAGAGCTTCAGGGGTCATGCTCGCTCTGCGCAGATGAGTGAACGAAAGCAATGGAGACTAAATCACGTGCTACATTAGAGACGACAATGAAGGCTTAGGGGGGTGGAGCCATTGAAAGGGGTAGGGCTCGGCTTGAAAGGGCCCCTGAAATTGCCCCGTTATGCAATGCCATGCCCAGTGTCAAACGCTGCAGTGCACAGACATGCATTCCCATTCACATTTTCAGTGCACTGGCAATGTCACCCAACAACAAACAGGCATGGTTCATGGAGGGGAGGGGAGTCCACTGTGCCCCCTCTCCCCACCTCTGACGACGGCGGGTTCTCAGCAATGCAGGCCCTCCTGCGCCAGGTGCTGGTGTGTCTTCTACTCGAGCCCCCATTCATTACAGTCTAACTGTCCCGGCTGTGAGCTTGTGAGACAGCAGCATCATCAGTCATGTTAATGGAAGCACTGCCACTTTTAGAAGAAGCACTGTATAGAAAATATTATTGAGGGCGAACGAACATTACTTAGTTCCTTAATATAGAAAATGCCCGGAAGTTTTTCATAATTTCTTTTCCCCTCCAAGCACAGAAAGCGCTGCTTTCTTGACATCTGGCTAGAGCGCCGTCAGGCCTTTGCAGAAATGACACATCCGGAATGGTTTTCTGCATTATGGGGGGGGGGGGGGTGGCAATCAAAATGACTTACTCTGCTTGGCACTGAGGCAAAACTTCAGTGCATCAAATTAAGAGGTCAAGATTTTAAATTAAATTAATATTGGAAATTTAAAGCAATTACTGCGTGGGTCATATTAGGAATAAAAGCACAGTTCGCCTGCCAGAGAATTAAATCCCAACATAAAGAAGAGAAGGTAAGGTAAGCAGAGACAGCCTGCGGTGTCAAGGGGAGACTGTGGAGGATTGTGTGAGAGGGGAAGAGTCTTTGTAAAGACACCTCTCTCACTGGCAGAGACTGGACAGCGCAGGTCTCTAATCTTGGGAAAAGAGAATAAAAACCTTGGTTTCTTCTGCGTCTCTGCCTCTCCTTTCATCCCGACTGTTACATAACTCCCAGCTCGCAGATGCTTAGGACCCACGGCTCAGGGCCGGGGCGCGCTGTCCGTGGTCCTGGACACTCGCTCGGAATAGAACAGTGTTGTCAAGGGTAACCTCTCCTTCTCTTATCTCCGGCCTGGCCATTGCTTTTGGGTACGCATAGAGGAAAAAGGGCCGTCCTTTCTGGGACCGCATCGTAGCAGCTATTTCTCATTTAATATTTCTGTTAAAGAAAAAAAAGGTTCAAATCTGAGGGCTATAAATGGTTCTTACCTCACGGACACAGGTATAATCTGTCAAAGGTATAGTCTGACAAAGGTATAGTCTGTCAAAGGTTTAGTCTGTCAAAGGTTTAGTCTGCCAAAGGTACAGTCTGTCAAAGGTACAGTCTGTCAAAGGTATAGTCTGATAAAGGTACAGCCTGTCAAAGGTATAATCCGAGAAAGGTACAGTCACAGTAGAAAGAACTATATAAATATATAGAGTATTAAAGGGCAACAACGTACACCATTGTGTAATGGGATTCCAAACGAGTATGGACCTGTGCCCTGAAGGAGACCACCTAGTACATACTTAAACAAAATGCAAAAACCAAGTTGTTCCAGTAGAGCATCCTGGTGCGTTGACGAGTTTTCGCTCTGGACGAAAATCGTCAGCTAAGCAGCTTAATGTCGACGGGAGAGCAGCACCTGCTGGAGGATTGATGTACAGCACATGTCCCCGCTGGGCCCCGCCGCCCACGTTCCACCCTGACATCCGTCACTGTCACGTGTCAGTCCACCCAAGCGGCTGCATTTCTGCGACTAGCTCAGGCTGTGCTGAGAGGCTCACTCAACAGGAAACTGCTGTTCCCATCAGCGCCCCCACGACAAACGATGGAATGGTTTCGTGTGAATTTACGGCAGGGTCGGTTCTGTGTGAAATCAGAGCATGTGCACATTGTGTGTGGGAATTGACCTCAAGGTTGTCTGTGAGAATGATACAGTGGACCGAGACTGGGTCGAGGAGCACACCTGAATGTATTCAGCATTCCTGAGTAGCTCAAGTAACAGGCTGCCTCGTGCTCGTGTGCAGGTATGTATATGCATGTGAGAAATCACGTGTGTATCCCTTTGTGTTGGACATGAGTGGGTTATCTGAAATTCTGCCCCTAAACGTATGTTCTGTGTTTGTGTGAGAAGAAATGACATGAATGGGTTTGTAAGAAAACATTTTTGAAAGCGAGAGTTTGGGAGGGCGGACGATAGCTGGATTTGGGAGGCTCACCCATGGGTTCCTGCAGACTGGTCCCGGGTGATTAAAGGCACAGGCACATTTTTCCCGTCAACGGCTTTATAATTCTCCTCTCAGCTGCACCCTGGCTCACTGGGCCCCAAACAACAGGAGGAGTGTAATGAGTTTTATAGATCTCCGCCGCTGATCGCAATTTCCCTTAAATCGGGTCACGGAGAAATAAGCAATCTTTTTCTGCAAGAACAAAAATATGATTTTTCCCACTGCCCCGAGCCACTGGATTTTAATTTATGGAGTAGGAAGGCAGTGTGGAGTTAACAAAGCGGGCGTGATTCACCACCGTGAGGTAAACGGAAGGATTCGACAACCCAATCTCAGTGCTTGTTATGAAAGAGGCTTTTAAAAAGCAATTAAAATACTGAACAATTAAATAGAAGTGTTTAATGATTTTCAGGTTTGACGTTTCAAGTTGTACTGAGTGACTATGGTGCTGAGTGTATGTAGTGACTGTCAATAGTGTGTGTGTAAGTGTGTGTGTGTATGTGAGAGAGTGTATGTGTGTGTGTGTTCACTGTGTTCATAAGCCCGTCTTAGCATGTGTGAAACGTGAATTCCGCTCAGTCAGTCAGTCAGTCAGTCACTGACTGCAATGATTACTCCGCCAATCTCAGACACTGGCAGAGTCTCTGCTCTCACATCGATGCACACATGCTCCATCAACCAGAAACCCACACACAGCTCCAACGTAAACATGCACTCACACACCTACACAAACAGACGTCTGAGATATCACTGTCTTTGTGTACATCATGTATATGTGATCATGTTTCCATGGTCCTACTCTTGAGATAACCTTGACTGGCAGGTGACCTCTGTATCTGCATGTACCTCTGTGTGTGTTCCTGTGCCTGTTTGCTTCATTGACCATTTCTGTATCTCCTCAACCTGTGCCCAGAGCTCCAGGGAAATCTGTTCAGGGAGACTCTGCTTCCCCAGAATGCACCTTGGCTTCACATGGCAATCGATTTACTAACTAAGGTCACACTGGCCCAGGCGCTGAGCATGTATCGGACCTAAAGTGCAGGGGCCATGGCTGCAGAAACGCCCTGAAAGCCTCAGTTAATGAAGAGCAACAGCCACACTTAAGCTCCACTCAGTCTGGCGTCAACCCATCAGAAAAAAGCGAGCTGGAAGATGGACACTCACGAAGCACGAGAGCTACACTCTCTGCTGATTGTGTACATGAGTAGAGCACATCCATTAGAGTACAGGAGCAGAAATACAGATGGGCAGAGGACATGGAGAGCTTGGTAATCAGTCCACAGGTTGTTCTGTCAATCTTCCATGCAAAAGCCATTCTAGTATATATCTAAATATCTAAACAACACGGATCTATTAGTTCAAATAATTCTGGAACCCTATTTATTTCCATGTCTCAATACAAATTCCTCTGCTATTTCCAGGCAACTTCTGGGGTGAATCCATATGGATGTGTGCATGTGACTGAATCCTGTGTTATTTATTAAAGAGGGAAATGCTCCACTGAATTATTGTTTGACTCACAGTCGAGAATGCTCTTCCGGAGCATGTTGACCTCACTAAGCAAACATGCTCAAACAGATGGTGGTGCCAAAGAACAGGCCCTGGACCCTTGAACCACGTCTTAATTGGCGTGCTGGATAAAACCCCAGTGCTGTTGCCTTAATGAGCCTCGTCCCCAGGCTCCCCAATTACATCTGAAGTGTCTTCCTCACCTGCTAATTGTTGCGTAAATATTCCAATTAGGCTCCAGCAACTGATGAGGGGATTAGGACGTGTGAAGCTGATGTACATACGAAGCAACACACACACACACACACACACACACACACACACACACACGCTTTGTTTTGTTTTTGGAAATGTCCCTCCCCTCTCCCCTGCAGACACACAGCATTTACAACACGCTGCCTAATTAGACAAGTTTGCTATTATGTTCACCTCCTGCGTGCCGTGCCTCACCCCGTCAGCATATCGAAGGGGTGCCGGGACCCATCTAACGCAGACGGCCGAGAAACGCCTGGGTGCGATGGGGGGGGGGGGCAACCTCGTCACGACGCCTCCAACTAAGCCAGCACCGTGCCACTCTCATATACGACGACGGGAAGCCCGGCTTCCGTAAGCTGCACCCTTCTCTACACTCTCTCTCAGAATATGAGTCTCCAAGCAATGACTCCCGGGGATTTTAGAAACCGTACAAATGAAGGTGAACCGCATTTCTATAAAACCATTTAAAAAATAATGAAAAAATAACTGACTTAATTATCTGCACATATGTTATGGTTTATTTTAAGCTTCTAAGAGGAATTTGCAATCAAGCCTTTCAATTCTTTCGGATTATACTGTACAAATAAATGCTGACAGAACTGCAGGTAGTGCTCAAGTAATGCAATGATTTTGTCTCTGTATAAGTCCTATGAGTCTTCTTAAACTGAACAAACTTCATGGTAAAAACTTTCTGCATTCAGAATTCTTCAGCTGCCCGCTAGCGATCCTATGTTCTTGAATCAGTATTAACATTAAAGAATCCTCAAGGCTGACCTTATTACTTGCCCTATTTCAGCTGCCCTTGCTTGACACAAAAGATGGTTGGTGCTTCTAACTGTATCATTAATGGGTGTCTGTATTGTATAAATGAGGAAA